AGTGTTATTATTGTTTGTTGGTGGGGATTTTTGTAATTATACAATCTCGGTTGGAGATAGAGAGGGACGGTAGAGAATGCTCCTTGAAATTTAGTGTCTGTTTGTCGGTGGAAATTATTGTAATATTACAATGTCTATTAGGGGGAGGAGAGAGAAAGGGAGAGAGTGTTTCCTCCTTGAAAGTTAGTTTTTGTTCATTAGTGGAAATTATTGTAATTTTACAGTCTCTAGAGGAGAGAGAGAGAGGGGTAAGGATTTCTCCTTTTGAAAAGCCATGTCTTTTTGTTGGTAGAAATTGCTGCAATTTTACGTTGTCCAGAAATGATTGACCTTTTCGTCATGCGTTTTGAATCAGTGATACCTCTATCAATTTGACATGCCTACTTTTCAAAACTTGCGACAAATAAATTTACGATCTATCACATTACTGGCTACTCTTTGAAACGCCTTTAATCCAATCAATCACGATAAGATTCTGGTTACCAACTCCACTAAGACCAAATTATGCTTTATGCCAAGGATAGCTCTGGACTTTCATATAAGTTAATTGTGTTTTTGCCATCGGAGTTTGGTCATTTACCTTAACTAAGAACCTTAACTATAATTTATATATGTTTGGGGACGTATAGTCATTCGATCTTAGTTGGCATTAAGTCAATCGTATGTTAATAGAGTTATTTTTTTAGCTCAACGACTAATGTCACATTATAGTTAGCTCGCTGTGTTAATTCGTCATATTAAGATGTAACAATTTTATTTTCTACTGATCTTGACTGTGTCTATTAATGGTTCTATTTATACAATATTTAAAATGTGCATATAGTGTGCTCCGACAATAGATACTATATATTGACTCACTAGTACAAAAGATGCTTTCTCGATCTAAAATTTTGGATAACTTTAGAATACCTTGTCTATGTTCAAAAAGAAAAAAGATTTTTTTCCAAAACTTAGGTCTTGAATTGTCAAAATCAACTTTTTCCTTTTTGAAATTATTCATATATACTATTTACAAAATCTGGGATAAAAATAAATAAATTTAATTATCCCATCAAATATACGATCTATGTTCATTTGGCAAAAATACTTTTAGGGTACAATTTTAAGAATTATTATTTTTTAAGATTGTTCCTTAGAATAAAAATAATTTAGGTGTAAAAATTAACGACATCTATATAATGAGATCATTTGCTTTTGATTCAAGGAGATTAAAATCATAAAAATTATATTTGAAATCAAGTGGTTGATGATATATCATTGGTTGAGCTTAAAGTTCAAAATGAAATTTTTTTAATATTATGATACATTTTTATCTAATGAATTTTATATCTAATGGTTAAAAATGATTGGGATATCTTTGTATAAAAAAAAAAACACTTATAATATACATTCTAAAAAATTAAAGTCATACAAATACGACTAATACGGTTTTTAAATGTGCGTTTCATTACATCATCAAAATACTATTGTATGAAATCACTTGAATGTGTACTTCATTACATCATCAAAATACTATAGTATGAAATCACTTGAATGTGTACTTCATTACATCATCAAAATACTATAGTATGGAATCACTTTTCTAATTTATATTGCTTTAAATATAAGGCAAGTAAAGAATAAGATCATTTACTTTCGATACTAAGTGGTCATATTAATCTTGACCATTGGATGTGAAATTGGATGGCTGTAATTATTCTATTGATCCAACCCATACTTCAACAAAAAAAAAAAAATTTGAACTTTACGACGCATCCCAACTATCAAATTTCAGTGGAACTGGGATCACTTTGATATAAATGGTTTCTTTGTATACATCCCTTTCCAATTGGTCTTTGCTCGGATTTTGTCAAGCCGTACTGGGCTCAGACTTGAGGACAATATCCTCGATCCACAATTCCAGATTATGCCGGGCTTGGTCGGGCCCGATAAGTATCAAAGTGTTGGAAGTCCGATAAGCTAGAGAGAGAATACCCGCTTATTTTCTCTCTCTAAACCCTCCAAAGTTGGCACCCTTCAGAACTTGAGCGAGCATCAGAGAACCAATGCAGAAACTAATGGTACTACTCTTTCCCATTTGTCCAAACGCTAAGCCTAATTTAAGATTCCACGACACCGAGAAAGAAACCCTAACCCTAAAAAAGGTGGAGACCTGGTATCTAGGGTTTTGAGCTGGAGTCCTCTAGGGTCTGGAGGGGGCGTTCCCAAGCTCTGTACCGATGCAACGATGACGGAGGATAAGCCACGAAAATGCAGCCTCTGCAAATCTCAAGAACTTCCATGGCTTTTCAATGTTAAGCACAAAGGTACCTTTTGTCGTCTCTGCACTTCTTGCTTGCTGATATCTCATTTAGAAACGTTTTGCCCTAGTTGCTTCGAAGTTTACACTGAGGAGGCGCCATTAAATGATGGCGTTAAGTGCTCAAAGTGTGTCTCAGTTTCGCATTCGACATGTGTTTCTCCCGAATGTTTGCCTGCTTATGCCTGCGCTCACTGCACAAACCCTAACTTTCCTTTCACGAATAATGGTGATTCTAATAAGAAAGGGTGGGGAATTGATGGGAACTTTTGTTCTATAAATCCTAATTCTACTCCAGCCATGAATCTCTCGACTGCAAAGGTTATTGTGGCAGCCGCTGAAATTTCTTCTCTCTCTATGAATAGAATTGCAATGGCTGCTAGGGGTGAAGCTGATCGAAGAGCCATGGATTCTTCGATCGCAAAAAGAAGGGCAAGAGATGCTCTTGTAAAATCCCTTGAATTAGGAGAAAAGGAGGATAGAAGGGTTCAAAAGGAGAAGGAGGAGAAGGATAAACATGGTGGAGTTTCTTCGTCTACTAATGCTATTTTGGGTACTCAGAGCTGTGTTAAAATGGAGAGGGAAGAGAAACAGAAGCCTTTTCCTGCTTATGTTGTTGGGCAGCAACACCTTCAAAACCATGTCCAGCCATCACAAAGAAGTGTACCATTGATGAAGGGTTCTCCCTCACCTGCGAGAGATGGAGCGGAGGCCTTTGCTGTTCGATAAAGGTGAAATCCAAAGATGGGTCTTTTTTTTTGTTACATGTTTTGCCTTTTTTTTTTCTCTTTTGTAGTTTATATTGGAATGGATGACAAGGCGACCAGCTAGAAAGCTGGTTGGCCTTGTTTGGGTAAATAGCTTCTTCCTGTTGCTGTGGTTGTGTATTGGGAATGTTCTTGTTGTTGTTTCATTAAAGTTTAGTGGTAATTTTATAAAGTTAAACATTTAGTTTTTCCCCTCCTATTTGATGTAAGCTCTTTTTATAATGATTTTTAATTAATTACTATTATTATTGCTATTATTATTTTGCTGCTTTTGTGGAACTTGGAAGCAGCCATGTAGGAACAGTCTTTTGGTACAAGTGGAAGTCAGAAATTCTCCTAATCTTGTAGATACAGGGACAAAACTTATAGGATTTATTCTAAATATTGATTGTCGTTACGGGTACAAGGAGTCAAGGAGTCACATGAATATATACTATCACAAAGAGAACAAAAATGATGCTAGTCGACTAACATACCTTACTTAGATGGAAATCTTGGAATTGTGAGCACAATTGATAAGAGTCCAGCACAAGTGAGAAATGTGCAGTGCAGATTCTTATAGGCTATAGCATCCTGAAAATATGTTTATCCTTCCAAGGGATGAAAGTGAAAGAACCACTTATATAGAATGGGTAGTATAAGTCCCAAGCCCAGTTGCAGTGACAAGTAGTGAGACCTTCATGTAATAGAGGAGAGAGAGTATATAGTGGGACCTTTGCAGTTCTTATTTTTGTGACTTTTTTTTAATAAAATGGGTGTGGACCCTCTCAAAACACCTCATGAGTTTGACAAAAGAAAAAGAAAAAGGTTTTAATCGTCCCTATGTGACAACTTCATTATTTACATTTGGGTTCTTTTAGTATTTTGGATATGGTATATGCTGTTTAATTATTTTCTTCATTTTACTTTTTGAGGGTAAGAAGTAGGCCATAATGTTATTTAGTCATTTTTTTTTGTTTAATGGGGAGGCCAGAGGCTACATACACCATTACCCCAAAATAATTGCAATAAATTGTGTAGACGCAAAGAGAATAAATGGGCCACAAGTAGTCTGTCACCTTTTTAGATTTCAGGAACGGCGGAGTCTCTTGGTTGTAGCGGAGACAATCAAGGAACTTTGGATTACTATTAGGGTATGGTGGATTAGATGGGCCATAAAATTGGTGATTTGAACTTGGTCAAAGCACAATAATTTGGGGTCTTGGGTGAGTGGAAAGCTCAATCCCTATTGGAGTTATCAAAGTGGTTAAAGAAGAACAATTAGCTAATCTAACAGAAGAGGACAAGCTTAGGAAGGTCTCTCACAAATTATGGGGAGATGTGGTAGAAATCACTAAATCATCTAACACTAGAAATGCAGCCAGCATTTGAAGTTTAGGTTAAGTGCTTAAACGGGTTATAGTTTGGGGATAGGGTAGTACTGGATACGATCAAGACTTGTATTAGGGGTAAGAAATCAAACCTTCACAGTTGGTTGTATGCCTGAAAATGTGGAAAGAAGACTCATGTTGAAAGTGATAGAACTCTGGTCCTAGAAGATCCTTTTTTTAATGGTTACTGGTCTTAGATGGTCATGCATGGCATTGTTTAAGAATCTATGGAGGTTGTGGGATGTGATTTTTGAAGGAGGTTTTCTTGAGTTTGTGTGAAGGTGAGGATCATTATAGATATGAATGGAGGTTCATCACTTTGCTAATGAATGTTGAGGGCAATTGACATCTGTGACTCTCAACAAATCAACTTGGTTGGTAGCAAATATGAAAATATTGGTTGAAGTTCTAATTGTGAGGGCAATGGATGCTTTGTATGAGGGGCGTGTAGATATTGACATGGAATGAATGTTAGTATCTGAGGCATTAGGCATGAGAATGGGAACTGCAAGGTTGATATTAAGCATGTTGTAACTATGTGGTCTGGTATACCTCAACCACCTGCTAGGGGGGTATGGGGTTTGGTGCTTGATGGAGGATAGAGACTCGATCCTCTAGTTCTTATGGAAGCTCCTTGGTATTGAAGAAATGGGATGGCCTGTCTCCATTCTTGTTAATTCCCATTGCAAAATGTTTCATTTACATAGGTCAACTAGCATTGTAAAATGTTTTTTTATTTTTATTTTTTATGCTGAAGCAGCATTGTAAGATGTTTAAGCTACATTATCAATAGGTCAACTACTATAGGCCTGAGTGGAGGATTCACTACTATATGAAGAGTAGTCTTTCAACCTTAGTTTGCTAATGACTAGCCAAATCTTTTGGGTTGCCTCATATTATATGCGTAATTTTGAAATGGTTTGAGTCAGTTTTTGGTCAAAGGTTATTTTGCATGAGAGCCCTTTGGAGATTTCGTTTGGAGGAGTCATTTAAAGGTGACAGCTAGCAGGTTGAGCTGTTGGTCCTTGAGATGTTTTACTTGGGCTCCTTATTTGTTTGTAATCCTAAAAGGAGCTTTGGGGAATCATTGGTGGAGCCAGGGTTTTAAAAATCGGATTGATGCCTGACATAGTTTGAAAATTCGGCAGCCTGACCGCCTAGGCGGAAAAAATTTTCAAAAACGCCTAGGCGCAGTTTGGGCAGGTGCATAAGGCGTTTTGCTTCTAGGCGCTATTGTTTGGGCGGCCTAGGTGCCACCCTGTGACAATTTTTGGACGGCAGAAAAAAAAACCCTCGGGTGAGGGTAAAATACATAATTTTTCCACCCTAAAAAGGGGGAAAAAGGGTTTTAGGGGGAGAAAAAACCTTAGGGTCAGAAAAAACCTTAAAAACTACTATTTTGTGATTTATCGAAAGATCAATAAATTTTATATTTTTTCGATTTCTTGCCAAAATGAAAACAATAGTTCATGGGTGGATTTGGAGCTTCTAATAGTTGATTTTGAGAACTTTTAGCAGCCCAATATGAGGTTTGCACCGACACTGATTTGATTTTATTTTGCTACAATACATTATGTTATGAATCATGTGTTTTTGCTTTTACTTTTTTTTTTTTTAACGATATATTTACATGTTTGTAGTTAAAAGATTGATGTTTTTGGTGATTTATTGATTTTTTCCTTACTTGGACGATGAATTGAGCATATATTGTATTCTTTTATTGATTTTTTTCATCTATTTCATGATCACGAGGAGTTTTGGGCTTTTAAAATTGCCTTAAAAACTCCCTAAAGCTATAAACCATCCCTAAGTACTCCCCTATTTTATTTTTTTTGGGGTGGGCCGGGGGGGGGGGGTGGGGGTGTTTGATATTGTTGAGGGCTCCCTGTCCCTGGGCGCCTGACCGCCTAGGCGGCCAGGCACCCTAGGCGCCCGAATCCATTTTTTTGAACCTACAGCCCAAAATTATTGGGGTATCGTATACTGTTTCAATCGTTCTAAATCGGTTATTCCAATTCAGATTGGTGTATAGATTCGATGGATAAAATAAATTTAAGAACCGCGGAATCCCGCGAAAACAGGCTTCCCTTGACCGGATCACTCCCCCAAACCAAAAAAAAACAGTCGCGGTTCAAACCAGGCGATTCAGCCCTGTTTTATGATTTTAAAACCCTATGTGCAACAATATGAGGAGGTTTGTACCCTTTTTTGTGTAAATGGAGATCAGTGCCATGGAAAAGTTAATATGTTGTGAAGCTCAATCTCATCAAGACCACCCTAGCATGTATTTCGTGTTAATGTTTCTAGGACACGGTTCAGAGGTTGCCAAGGATTTCATCAGGTGGCAGATATGGTAATGGGAGGCATTAATTCTTTGGAAGTCAGAAGAAGTACGCAAATAAGAGTTTTCTTGTTTTGTACTTGGAAATACTCAAATAAGAGTTCCCTAAAAAACATTCAAATGAGAGTGCTCCATATGGGGCTGACATTGTCCTTTGAGCCCTTTTCTGGACCCCTATTATCAGAATGGAGCTATATATGTTGAATATGAGCAAGTGAGCATGTTGTGAAGTTCTAATCTGATATCTGGTAGGTCAGTAATTCTTTGGTATGTATCCGAATGCTCAAGTATCCCACGGGTATTGATATCTCATTGGCTGCAGAGTGGGTTGATAAGGAATTTGACTATTGGGGATATCGTCTATCAACAAACTTCCAATGTGCATTTTTTTGTTTCTCCTGATATGTGCACAACTCTTATACACTATGTTACACACTTGATTTATTGTTTCTTCTACTAATATATGAGATGCACTATCATGAAAAAGGATAGCATCTATGAATCTATTTTTAAATTATTATTTAGTTATTTGTTAATTCAATAAGCCATTCTGATTTATTAGCTTTTGGCTTCACCACCTTTGACAAATTTATGAAACTGAAATTTGAAACCAGACTAGTATTTAGGCAGTGGCACTTTATCTCCAATGTCTATCAATTCTCTGAAATGTACCAGATAATTTTCATTCAAAATTTGCCTGCCTGTGTTTGTGCTCCCTCTCTGCCATGAATCTGGCTTTGTGGGATACAAGGACTATGTAACATATATTTTACTATATAACTTTGGCGACTCTTGGAGTTCAGTTCTCCTATTATCGATCTGAAGGCATGAACTATGACTTCATTTTTTTGCTTTTTAAAGAAAAAAAGAATGAAGAAATAAAGAATGAAGTCTGACATTGATACAATGCTGTGCTCTCTTGCCAAAAAATCTAAGAATTTGGATACACTAGCAAGGGGTAAATGACGCTATGGACATTTTTATTATCTTGATTAGAATCTCAAGATGGTAAAAATGCATACATGTTTTTCCTCCAAAAAAAATCCAATAATTTGGGGATTAGGGAATAGGTTTCTATTGAAATTAACCTGTTTCAGAAAAACAGGAATAGGCTTATAGTGAAGTTAATAAACTTCAAAAGAGGATAGCTATCTCTTTATGTATACCAACTTCTAGACTATTTACTCCTTAATTTGGATAGTAATTTTTTCTAATGTATTTATCAAAAGGGGGAATTGGTGGAACAAGATTTGTATAGCCAATCCTAAGTATGTTGAGATAAGGCCCAGATGAAGATGATGATATGGGGGGGAATTTTTTTCATCAAAAGATTTATCATTATATGTTACCAACTAAATTGCCAATGAAGGTATTAATTATAGGAAGAGATAAGAGATTGAATTGGATCTAGAGGTAAGCCACCCTAAACTCCCACTTTGCAGGGCCCTCGTTGATAGGTACCATACCCTAAAGTTTCTCTTTCCTTGTGGTCCTATTCTAGTTGAATGCCACTGTGTCCCTGCCATTCACTGTTGCTTCACATATGTAGAATACATATTTCTTCTTTTGGCCTGTTGAGATAGAATGCTCATGCCCTCTGCCAATGGCCTATGCACTGTGTTTTTTAGTCACTGCATGGACAACTGTATAGATGTGAGATTTTGAGTTCCATGGGCTTTCTCTATGCATTTTGTTGTTGTGGCCTTGGTTATTGATTGTTGTTTGTGGTTAATGGTTAAGATCAGGATCACGGAGAAGTAGAATGCCAAAATGATATTCTAATATTGAGGTTATTTCTATTATTTTGTGGCCTCGGAGCATTCTCTACGCACTACGTGGGTGCATGGGGCTGATCGTAGGGCTTTAAGAACCATTTCCAAGTCTTATGCACATGGACATGTGGGTGTTCTACGGTTGGTGAAAAGATAGAAGGTCATCTGGCTAAGTACAAGATCTTTGAAACTGAGAGATCATCCATTGGCTTATTACGATCAGGAAGTCTCTCTCTCTCTCTCTCTCTCTCTCTCTGTGCCTCTCTCCGTTAAGGCCTACGTTTAAAATGGGTTCTCTCTCTCTAGGCTTTTCTCCGTTACGTTTAAAATGGGTTCAAGCCAAGGTTTACCTTAGTGCTGTGGATTTGAACCTAGGTAGGTAACCTACCCAAATGGAAAAGGACCATGCACTAACAAGTTCTCTGGATTTCCTTGCAAAATTTTGTTTTGTGACCAAATGTTTTGGGCTAAATTCCAAGGTACCTTCTATAATACTTGATTTTAACTGCGGAATTGTGAAATTCAGCTGGTAAATATTGCTTCAAATTTTCTTTGCATGCTTAAGACTAACGAGCCATCCATGGGACACACTTGACATCTCATTAAATACCAAATAAATAAATAGACTGTATTTTCAAAATTGGATTAATTTTTAGGGAAAATATCTTCATACACTTTTTTTTAAGTTTTATTTCTCAATAGATTTAGGGTTTCAAAATATATTTGATTGTACAGATCTTATCTATTATATCATCTAACCCTCTAGACTACTTTTACTCTTTAGAGCTTATTTTTTCTAGTTGGTTTAATAAAAATATAGGAAACCTTTACTATTAGAGAAACCAATACTGTTTCAAAAATAAAATGTTCGTGAAAGAAATAACAGTATGCTATTCTTTTCCTCATTATTTGGAAAGGTGTTGTAGCAAAATTAATTTGCGGATTCTATTTCAAAGGGCATATGGCTCACACTTAATATGGAATTTTTTTCCTATTTATCTTTTGTACATGGAGGTTACAATTCGCACTCATTAGATGCCTTAGAGTGAGTCATAGAGTTCGAGAATTTTCTTGGACTTGTGTCTATTCAATAATACTCTTACAACCACTTATTTTGAAATTTAAGGAACAAGAACGTTGTGAGCTCTATGTACAAAAGATAAATGGTTTCTTTGTAGGCAATACATTTGTTAAATCGCATACGGAGCACTCCTGTATGAGTTTATTGTATACTTGCTCCCTTAGACAAAATACATACTTAGGAAGATTTTCTCGATGTGAAATTTGAGATTTTTAAGATCAGCAATTGTGTATTTTGAAGGGAAATAGTTGAATATTTAGCCATTGGAGCTTGGTCAATGAAATAAATGCAGCCACGAAATTTCATATTCAATGGTCAAGGTTAATTGTGATCATCTTGTACTAAAGATAAATGGTCTCATTAATTGTACATAATGAGACCATTTACCATTGGTATAAAGAGATTACAATCACTTATAACCATTTGATGTGAAATTTGATAGCTTAAGTGTGTTATAAAGTTCAATAAAATTTATTTTGAACTTTGAGCTTGATCAATGAAATAAATGTAGCCATCAAATTTCACATCCAATGGTCAAGATTAATTGTGATCACTTTGTACCAAAGGTAAATAGTCTCTTTATATATTTTTTTTATCGGGATTGTATACAATGAGACTATTTACCTTAGGTATAGGGAGGTCACAATCACTTATAACCATCCGATGTGAAATTTGATAGCTTGGTGTGTCACAAAGTTCGATAAAATTTCTTTTGAACTTTGAGCTTGCTCAATGAAATAAATGCAACCACCAAATTTTACATCCAGCTGTCAAAGTTAATTATGACCACCTTATACTAAAAGTAAATGGTCTCGTTGTATATTTTTCCTTATTGGGATTGTATACAATGTGATCATTTACCTTTAGTATAAGGAGGTCACAATCACTTATAACGATCCGATGTGAAATTTGATAACTTGGATGTATCACAAAATTTGATAAAATTTCTTTTGAACTTTGAGCTTGGTTAATGAAATAAATGCAAACACTAAATTTTACATCCAGTGGTCAAGGTTAATTGTGATCAACTTTGTATCAAAGGTAAATGATCTCGTTATATACTTTTTTTTATTGGGATTGTATATACAATGTGACTATTTACCTTTGGTATAGGGAGGTCACAATCACTTATAACCATCCGATTTGAAATTTGATAGCTTAGTGTGTCATAAAATTCGATAAATTTTTTTTTGAATTTTGAGCTTGGTCAGTGAAATAAATACAACACCAAATTTCGCATTTAGTTGTCAAGGTTAATTGTGACTACTTTGTACCATAGGTAAATAGTCTCATTATATTATTGATAAGAGATGAAGCATTTTAACAAATGTTTCACATGTTTTGATTTTCAAGACACCCATACAAGCACATATAGGCTTAAATAGGAATAGCACGAAATGGACATAATATTAAAGAGTGCAGTTTGTATAGAGCCTAGGCTCTAAACAATCAAATTAGACCCTACCTTCAAATAGTATTTAGAAATGTAGTTTCAATATTGGAAATATTTGTGATAGCCTTAAAATATATTTTCATCTTTATTTATAAAGTTTAAATATTAAAAAATAGTGTAGATCGACATATCTATAAAAACTTGAAAATCTTGAAAATTGGCGGTCCAAAATACATTACAAAACACACTATTTTGAAAACTAAAAATCTTTTTTTTTCTCATGTTCATGCATCTTGATATCGCGATGATCAATTTGAGGACATTTGGGCATCAAAACAACATTTTTTAGTGAAATTTTTGAGGTGGGCTCCAATTTGATTGTTTAGAGCCTCGGCTTTAAATAAACGTTTTCCGATATTAAATACTTTATTTCTTAGGAATATTGCGATTGATTTTCCTTTAAATTTCCTTTAAATTTTTAATGAGAACCAACAATTTCTTGTTGAACCTTCTTTGAATTGTTCGTTTTCAATTCTCGGGTGAACCTTAAATTTTCATATCACATTCCTCCAAATAGGTGTTTCTCGAGGTGAACAACAAATGCTATTAAACTGTTCCCTGCTATACCTATAATAGTAAGCGCTATACCTATAATAGTAAGCGTGTAATGCAGGCCAGCTCAATATACATTTACTGGATTAGGATATTAGAGGTAAAAGAAGATTGAAAAAGATGATAAAAAAGCTTTAGGATAAGATGGCATCGTTAAAAAGGTTTGGAAGTACATGAGAAAGATAGATATATTTTAGCTGACCAAGCTGTTTCAAAAGTTAATAACAAAGGAAATATAAGTCGAATGAAGAAAAAGAAATGTCGTACCTACTTACAATAACAAAACAAAAATATTTAAATTATACAACCTATTAGGAGATTAAATTGGTGAACCACACTATGACGCTATAGAAGAGAGTGATTGAATAACAACAATGATATGAAATGAGCATTTCAAAAAGTAAATCCTCTTTAATACCAAAGAGGTAAATAATTGACGCTATTTTTATATTTAAGCAATTGATTGAGAAGTTCAGAAACAGAAAAAAGACCTTCACCTAGAGAAAATTAATTTGGTCGTTGTAGAACAAGAAAAGAATATCTGATGGATGCATTGACATGGTAGAGAGACAAATGAATTTTAGTAATAATATGCCTATATCATGGTCGTATTATAACACTTCTAACACTTAAATAACTTTAATTTCAAAATACCCATAAAATAACATTGGAGAACTTCCACAAGGACAAATACTTTCTAGGTACTTTGACAAAGGATATGGTTTTTATGCGGGCTCCCTAGACAGTGGACCTTTTATGCGGGCTAGCCCACATAAAACAAATTACCTCAAAAATTTCCCTTGAAAAAAAAACAGAGCCAAAATCGAGCCAAAAGCTTATTGTGCACGATAGATGCGCCTGAGGGGCAGCTAATATAGTGTCCCCTCTTAAGGGGCTTAGAATCTGAATATGCAAACAAAATTTACCTACGATTTTCAAATTCCAAACATAAAAATGTGTAAGAATGCGCTTTAAAATTCTGCAACTGCAGATTACCTGAAATTCCCCAAAACTTCATTCATGCTCATAATTATGATGTCACCAATCGTAACAAAGCATCTAATCTTACAAGTAACAACAGCAAATAGTCGCCCAAAAAATTACACAAACAACCACAACTGTCAAAATTGCAATTATTTTGTAGGATGTCTCATGTGAGTATTCTAACAGGAATATGAAATAATCCGAATCATTGACTCAAATACACAGCACTCATCCTCAGCTGTGATCTAAATATTGAAAAAAAAGAAGAAAAAAAAAAAAACATGGACAATCTTCAGATTAGCCGAGATTGTCACTAAGTAATACATTTTTTGTGCCCTAAATAGTAGAGAACAAAAAAAACACAGATCAAGCAGAAAATGGAGACCTGCATGGTGTTGATTTAATCAGCCGCCATAAAAGGATCAATATCCCCAAGGTCTGCAACCGAAGGTTCCAACAGTGATGTATCCTCATCTGGAGGAATGAAAAAAGTAGGGAATGGCAGTGCCGAGATATCAGGTTTCTTGCAAAATGCATCCCTTATGAACACAAAGTTCCCTTCTGCACCTGGAACCTGTGAGACCAATTGACATTCATTAAAGGAGACGGTAACTAAAAACATGATCTGAGAAAAAGTTAAGTTCTCTATTTTTCTCTTGCAGAAATGAGGGTTAGTTATCCTTTAATTCCCCCCGAGAAATGAAATATATATGTGAAAAGAAATTTACCTGGCCTCTGACCCACATCAGGTTCCTCGCTGGGTCTATTTTGTAGACGAAAACATTTTTAACTGTGCACTGGACCGCACCCATTCGGCCAGGCATTTTCTTGCCTTTGAAAACCTGATCAAAGCCACATCAGTTTTAATACATTTTCCCACTAGGGCAAACCACTGCATCAGATAATGTCACTAATCTTTCTACTCTGCACCACTCAAATCCAAAAATTTAGTACGGCCTAGTGCATGTGAAAAGCAATAAAATAAATATTCAGATGATTTGAACAGATTGAGGTTCGGTATATCTTGCTCTAAGAACTCGTTGGCCATTCATGTAGAAAACTGAAATGCGCAAAAAAGTGGTCAAACCATCAACAGGGAGCACTCCAGCACAAAATACTAAATCAACCTTGTGATATATAAGAGATGCAGTAACCACAAGCACAATATGAACATTTAGTCCAAGGAAAATTGTTTCATACGGGCTGGACTGCATGACTACGTACGAAGTCCAAAAAGTGTAAAGCATCCATCTTAAAGATGGATGCAAGTAGGCGTTCCATCTAAAAACAATGGAAACTAACGGTCTAAATGTTTTTTTACTAGAATTATTATTTCTAGTTTTTAAAATTTACTTATTTTTTAATATTCATGATCTCCATGTCAGAGATTACATGTCTTTAAAAATTAAGTTGAAAAATCCATATCAAAAATAGATTTATTAATAGGCCTGCATTTCTACATATGCCGGCTTGGCCGCATAGAAACCAGGTCCTTTAGTTTAATGGAGTACAGTAGGATCTGAACTCATTTTATATCAACGGAATAAAGAGTTTCTCAGACTATCATACTTATTGGTAGATCTATGAGATGACCAAGAAGTAATTCATCCATCCATTTCATTATCTTGCCCATTTAATAAAAAAAAACTGTCCACCTCCTACCCCCAATCACGTTCTTGCCTCTTCCCATGGTTACCCCAAATGCAATCTCCCATGCCTCCCAGCAGTCATCGTGCCTAATAGATTCCCAAATCCCAGGGTAACAGTCCCACCTCCATGTGGCAACACCCACCCAGCAGTCGTCGTGCCTAATAGATTCTCAAGTCCCATCTACAGCCCAAGGTAACAACCCCAGCTCCATCTGACAACATCCAATGTCTTGCCTCAATACGAGATTACCATTCCTTCTCACCTTCTGATACAGGACACGTCCACCATGCCCTAAGCCATTGGACTTCAAATATATCACTCCTTTTCAATCAACTCTTTCAACCCCTTCTATACAAAACACATCAACAATCATCCTCAGCCCCTCTACACCAGGCCAAGAATAAAAGCTTTTTTCCCCTCGATCAATTCAACAACTTTCTATAAATCTCACGATTACAAATTTCAGGCAAAGTCCTCTCTCTATCTTGTCTACCTCTGAAACAAAAATCCTGAAACACATAGGAGAATAGGAGAGAACAAAAATAGGAATAATGGCTCAGAGCCAGGGTACAGAGAGAGACGAATAGGTTTCTAAAACAGAAAGCCCAAAATACAAATTCTTCAATTGTTTCTCTCCCTAAACTTCTTGGTCTTCAATGAAAAACTCGTCCTCTCTCAAATCTCCCAACATTTTAGACCCTTTCTTCAGACTTCTGATTCCAAAACCCAATTTTGACCCAATAACTTTTTTAGGTTGTAGAAGTTTTGATTCAATTTCATAGAGGAGATGGAAAAACGGAGTAAAGTGCACAGAGGACTGGAATCGATTTCCTCTCTTCTCATCAAGCCAAAAAAGCTTGATCTAATAATTAAACTACACCAACAATCTAATTAAGAACAGCCAGATTCTTGAGCAGTTTTTAGTCATAGTGTCTGTTACAGCTTGATTTATTTAGGGAGGGGCGAGGGGGGAGGGGAGAGGGGAGACAAAGAAGAGAATGAGAGGGAGAAGAAATAAAAGCTTTAAGTTTTAGAGAGAGATTCTTGAGAGAATGAGAGAAGCAGTGTTACATGGATACCGACCCTTGTGTCGGTATTTATTACATGTTAGAGTGTCTAATACAGGAGGCTAGAATGCCAATACTTCCCGAAGCATCTGTACTTAAATCATCATCATCATCATCATCATCAGAACCTCTTCCTAACTATTTGGGTCGGCTACACAAATCTTGGTCTGCCATTCTACTCTATCAAGAGTCATACCCTCAATGAAGTCATAAGTCCCCATATCTTTTCTCACTACTGCCAACCATGTCCTTTTGGGCTTATCCCTGGCCCTTTTTTAGACTTCCACTTGAACCAACTCGCACCTCTTAATAGGTGTTGTACTGGACTTGTGCACCCATTATTTTCAATAATATAAATATATGAACAACCTTGCCTAAGAGGCCTCAGATATTGCATGATCAAACCCCACAGACCGCCCGATGTTTTATTTTTGTATTTTAGATAAGTTTAGCTTATATGTGAAATGATGTCGATTCAATGCAATAACATCAAAGTGGTTTTGTGGTAGCATGTTGGTTTCATGATCAAGTCATCCCAAGTTCAAACCATGCACAAGTCAGCGGTGATGTTTTCGTATGTTTATAATATAAAAAAGCTTACAAAGAAATCATCATCATCATCCCAGGCTTTTCCCAACTATTTGAGGTCTGCTATTAAATCTTGTTCCGTCATTCCACTCTATCAAGGTCCATACCCTCAATTATACCATAAGTCACTTATATCTCTCGCTAGTTCCATCCATGTCCTTTTTCCCCTTGCCAGTGTAGAGCCTTCCACCTAAACCTCCAAACTGATGTTCCTCTAGGTCGATGTTGCACATGACCAGACCACCTAAGTCTACTTTCGCTTATCTTATTGTATCGACACATTATTTACCAGTCCCAGGTCGGCCATGTCGATCCCGAGCCTAGAGAAAGGAGGGTTGTGTTAGGTTGGCAGCCAGTGTATAACTTTTGCCACATTTATTTCATAAATCCTGATTCACTACAAGTAGGCAAAATATCTCACAAAGAAATCATCATCATCATCATCTGGGTCTTATCCCAACTATTTGGGGTCAGCTACACGAATCCTAGTCTATTGTTCCAATCTATCAAGGGTCCCTTAGTCAGACCATAGGTCACCATATCTCTTTTTACTACTGCCATCCATGTCCTTTTGAGCCTTCTCTTGTTCAATTGTTGAAAAAGTTTCATTGAGAGGAATGAAACTGTGACCTCATTTGTTCAACTGTTGCTCCACCACCAAAACCATTAAGCATAAGGTTTTAAAAAGGGCAGACACTTGTATATAATGCGTCGATATGTACCAAAAAATTGATGGTCATCAGACATGTACGGTCAAGTGTAGAAATGTGTCGACCCACACCAAACAAATTTGAAGTGTCTAGGTAAAACTAGAGGGGTGGGAGCAAGGGGGCGGGCCAGGGGGGTGGGGAATTCATGGGTTAGGGACTTGGAACTGAGTGGAAATAGGTACTTTAAAAGGATAAATTTCAATAGAAACACATGAGCAAAGGGGATGGGGTCTGTGAAATCTATAATCAAATTGCCAGGCCACTTGAAATGAAAAAAATCAGGGGGTTTAATGTAAAATCATGATATTTGGGAGGGGCTACACCGATGATTTCCCTTTAATCATAATTTCTCCAGCCTAACTGGTATTCTCCTTTTGCTTCCAAATAGCCCAAGTTACCTTTCCGGCCACCTCGTTCCAAATCACCTAATAGGAATCGGTCCTCTCGTCCCTCTTCCTTTTCCCTAGCCATGCTCCTTTGTACACCAATCTTCTTTGTAATCTCTTCCCTAGCCTTTTGGCTCTCTCAACCATATGCTTTCTCCAGTAGCATATGCTCTTCATTGATTTCTCCTTTGCTTCAACATGGAATTAAACCCCTCCACAATTATCTCAAAACTGCCGTTCATGATAATCCCACTACGCCAAAATGAAACTACGAGATTGAGAGCCTCTTGAGGATTTCTTGACAATAGCTAGGGTATAGCAGCCATCATGAAGATTCCATATCATAGTTATTGGGAGCCGGATGGGGAACGGCTTCAGGATCGGGAGCGAGAACAGTGCATTGAAGGGTGACAGAAGATTCAGCATTCAAGGAGAGCGCTCCGTACAACGCATCTATTACGGAGCTTCCAATGCTCATAGGAGCGAGATCCCATTTGCCAAGTACCGTCGTTCTCACTTCTCTATCTTGACACCAAATACCCAAGGATTGAGTTCCGTATAAATTGGGGTCCTTTTATAAATATAAAGGATCGCAGTGTCAATGCTCACGGAAACTAGATCCCATTATGCAACAAATGGGGCTTCCTCTTTGTTGTATTAAATGATTTAATTATTTTAATTCATGATATGATTTATACATTTACAACTCTAGTAGCAATCTAGGAAATTTAATTCTTGACGTTTGGGATTAATACACGATAAGGATGGAGATCCACAAATACAGGGATCGAGATTCCAATAAGTATGGAGATCAATAAATAATGGGATTGACATCCTTGAATCGAGGGATTGCAATCCGAACATGATGGGGATCAAGATCCACAAATAGAGGATCAAGCACCGTGATTAGGTGGGATCGAGGTCCCTACGAATAAGGAATTGAGATTCCATGAAAAGGGGTGAGATCCCTCAAAAAAAAAAAAAAAAAATTAATGGTCAAGATCCCAACTTCAAAGTGCAAGATCTGGATTCCGAAGCCGGACCCATGTCCCCCGGGGGCGATCCCGGTAACTATGTTCCATATCCAGGTTCAATTTCTCAAAGATCAAGAAATACCATTTGTGTGCAAGACTCCTGAAGTAACTAACTACCCACTCATTTTCAGCCTCGAAATAGATACATATTTTTCAGCCATAAAACCAACCGCAGCAAACTCCAAGGGGACACATCAGAGGCTTACAACCGTGAAAGCTTCCCCTCTCAAGGGAGAACAAAAGGCATAAACCTTCAAAAGTTCTCACTGCCAGACAAGTATTGTCCCTCGCCTTTGATCAACCCAAGCTATAAACTTAGACAAAGGATGGATCTTTCTTCCAAAGTTTTAACATCCCCACCCACTACAATGGTCATAGAAACGAGCCCCTATCCTTTCCTCACCTTAGAATATGGACTATACCTCTTAGCACCCTTCAATTTGCTTTCCAGACTTCCATCATACCAATGATAACTCAAACAGATCCATTTCTTAGAAGCATTCCCACCATCAGTTACCACCGCTCTAAATTATGGCTAGCTTCATCACAAAATATCCTCCATCGATATAGAATCCCCTTCTGGGTAAACCCATGTCAAGGAGGCCCATACGTTAAAAACTTTCGTCATCCATCCACTAACACATTAGAGTTTACCAGATTCCTGAATTGCACAATTTTGCCTCCATCCAAGTTTGTATTTCCATTGTAAGCCCCTCCATTGTTCCTTGAATTCCAATAACCACAAACTAACATCCTCCACCATCTTCCACTGCTTCCCAACCAGAGAAGAACCATGGTATAAGGTAATCGTGTTAACAATAAGGAAAGTTGTTTACCAGCAAATACACTTCTGATATCCAAATATAATAAGTATGTGGAACATTTACCAATTCAGCTAGCATAGTTATGCAGGTTAAATAATAAGAAGGTCAAGAATTTGGATGGCATTAACATCAACTCTTACATCAAAGATTTAGTAGTCTGATAATCATTCTCAAAAAAAAGATTTAGTAGTCTGATAATGGTTTCTCCTGCAAGAATAGCTTCATTGTTTTGTCAACAGTTAATAGTCGATTCAAATCTCAGAAATTAGAAAGTTCGCCTCCAAAAACTCTGCTTGGCCTTCTGCAGTTCAATATGAAGAGCCGAATAAGTTCAAAAAAAGCTAAGGACCAGAAGCAACCGTACAATGTCCATAATTAGCACATTAAGAATCATTCATGTGAATATATTTTTATTGAACCATCCAAAAGCTTCAACTCCTGCACAAACTTCCAGCAACCATGAGAAAATAGATTCCAAAATAATTGGCCTCATGTCACATGTACGCTACCTTTGAAACTTTAAATGAGGAAAAGAACAATGCAATTTATATAGTTCTACAGCAATAATTTAGTGCCATAACAGAAACACACAACGGAGGATCACTTTTTATATTAAAAATTTCACAATGGATTATTTATTGCAACAGCGGACAGGTAAGCACTCTTTGTCTAGTTTACCACTCTTTGCCTAATTTACAGAAGAAAAGGATGCTTATGTCAAGTTGCATGAGGGATGAAACCTATGGGTGAATTGCATATAAAACTATGGATGACTTTCTACCTTCTAATTCTATTTCACTGTAAATAATTTAGTCAAGCAGCACTTTGAAGTCATAATTAACATGTGTCAGAGCTATGTAATTGTCTTTCAAAATATTTAATTATAGTGAATTAAGTCCAGAAGGTCTTCAAAAATGTTGCTATCGTGTGTTCTTATTTTGTGGATGAAACTTTACTGTCTGCTTACAGTCAACAGTTTCTAAAAAAAAAAAACTTTACCGTTTGCTTTAATGAATACCTTTCCAGCAGCATCTCTTTGACCAGTAGATCCAATACTTCGATGCGACAATGATGCACCATGGGATGCAGGCATTCCGCTAAAACCCCACCTCTTCATACCACCCTATCGAACAAGGAAAACAAGTTTTAGAGATGGTGATATTTAATCTCATTCTTGGATAAATGTTAGCCAGTAAACTCTAGAGCCTATGAACCTCGAGTTCCAGAATATTTGAAGTCAGATGTAATTCATATTTGTGTGTGTATTGTCTGTTTTCAAAACCAATGCATCAGAAATTATTAAAAAATAAAAAAAAAGCAGACAAGTTGGCTACAAACTTTTCCTTTTTCTGAAGTTAATTTTTACTGATAATAGGAAAACTAGTACAAAATAGAACTTATAACAAAAAATAGCAAAAAGGAAGGAAAACCACATACTCAACCAACTTCCGAAAACCCACTTGGAATTTCTTGTTTATGTGATTGTCTATAATGGATGATATTTCTATAGACCTTAAAGTCTTTGATATTTCATCCAGCAAATATGCCAATGAATCGTATCAAAAGAGTCTCTTTACACTACAGATAATTGGAGAGTGAATATTATGGATTTCTTATTCCACTTACGAGAGAGCTCTACCTCTGCCTCCATGGAATCAACATATCTGATCTTATTGGAAAATCATTATTAGATTCAGCAAGGTTCCTTAATTGGCCAAAATCCCAACAATTAAAAAAAAAAGAGCCACCCACCCAATTAGGTCTGGTTTGCCTAAAGAAATTTCATCAAAGTTTCACTGACCCACTCAATGCTTAATTAGACTCCTCCTTCGTGTATGACAAAGTTCAGCACTCAAAAAACAGAGAAATATTCATTTACAAAGGCTACATGTGATAGGCATATCAATCTCAAACACAAGAGATCTCAAAAGAATTCAAAGGTATGCAGATTATCCTTGTTTCTAATGATCCGCAATTAAAAAATCTCTTCTTGACCTGATTTTGTTAAACTGGCCACATCAAACACACTATCTAGATCCAAATCCTTAATTAAAACCAGTGCACCACCAAATAATACAAAATCCCTTAAGATAGGATATGAAAAGGCCCAAGGAACTGGTTCCTAAACATTGTCTAAGAGTTTATGATGCAAGTGATGGCAGCATAAAACCACAAAATTGTTGCCTTTGGTTCCAAAAAAAAAAACCCACTCTTTTCACATTAATATTAAATCACATTTGATAATTGGGATCTCCAAATTGTATGGAAACCTGGGCTTGATTACGGGGATTAGCTACAATGATCGGGGGACTGGGCTATCCTCAATCTGCGGAAAACTACGTTTGATTACGGACTTCAAAACTATGTGAGTGACCACCTCCTCCACTACATGACTCCCCCCTTCACCAATTGATCAAATCTCCTCCGAGTGACTACCTTCTTCAAAACAGGTTATCAAACATGGTATTTACCAGCTTCATGTCTCCAAAAACTAGATTTCAAATAGCTAATATTTACACGCCCTAAAGGTTTTCCAGGATTTCATTTGACAACATGCCCTGAATAATCAATATGACCCAAAATTGTTCCCTAATTAATCAATATGACCCAAAATTGTTCACTACTGATGTATTTTCTACAGCGGAAGCCATGCAAAGTGAGAAACAGATAATAACCTCCAACATCATAATCATCAAAATAAATGCATTTCTTTTCGAAACACAATGAACAGTGAAAAGTAAATAAATGTGCACCTGAAACCCTTTCCCGCGTGTGATACCCGTAACATCCACATATTGGCCTGGGATGAAATGTCGAACATTGATTGGAGTTCCAGCAGGGAGTAGTGCATCTTCCGTAACAGGAAATTCTCTCAGCTTCCTCTTCAAAGGGACATTCTGTGCCCTAAAATGGCCCACTTCTGGTTTTGTCAATTGCTTTGCTTTCTTCTGCCCGGCCCCAATCTAACTAACACCATAACCAGACAACCACTCAAAAAACCCACCATAAAAAAAAAAAATGAAAAACAATTCTAGAAGCATAACTCTAAAAAGGCCCAACACGAAACCAAAAAAAAAAAAAGCACAGAAACTCAAATTCATAGGTTCATAACCCGGAAAAAAGGGGGAAACCCCAAAACATTGCACCAATATAACACAGAGGATTGCCTGGTTTCTAGAATAATCCAAAAAAACCACCAAAAACCAATAAATTGCAGAAAGAAGAAGCACAAAACTTTAGAATATCATTGAGGTTTCTACTAATATAATAATACAACAAAAACCCAACAGAAAGACCACAGGATCCCAACAGAAAGACCACATGACCCCAACAAAAAGCCCACAAAATTGCACGTAAGAAGAGCAGAAAACTTCAAAGGATTGATTAGGTTTCCAGGTTCATACCTGGAGAGCAGTGATGCCTTCTTTTTCCATTGTTTTAACCTGAGAAACAAGGTTATCATCCAACCATAGAACTGTTATTGGAACCCTAGCTCCCCATTTATCCCAAAGCGCAGTCATCCCACATTTGATGGCAATGGCCCCTGTTCTCCTCGAATTCGGCCTCATACGCTTTGGACTCGCCTCAATGATTGGGCCACGGACCTCTGGTTCCTCTATATTTCGGGAATTAGCACTAAAATTCCTGAAGTAAGTCGTTCTAATAGCATATTGAGAGATGGGGTTCAGAGAGAGAAACCTCAGGCGAGATAGGATGCCTCTAGAGAGAGAAGACATAGTTTGAGCTGGTGTTTTGAGAAGTGAGGAAGCTTGCTTTGAAGATCAAATCCATCCATGAAAGATTGGTCTGGTGCTAGTGTAGATGGGCATGGTTAGGGGAGATGGAGTTCGACTGGCAAGACAGAGGGAAATAGGTGTGAAAGGAAAAAATACTTGAGGTAGGGTTTCAGGCAATATGGCTTTGCTCTACAGAGAGAGAGAGAGAGAGAGAGAGAGAGAGGGAGAGGTTTAAGGTAGGGTTTTAGGCAAAGTCGGCTTTACTCCTTTCTCGTACAGAGAGGGGTCCTTCTTTAGGGCATTGAGGACAGAATCGGTAATATATCGACTTAGGTGAGAGATGTATACAAGGGTGCGCAAATAGCTAGTAGAAGGATGAATGAATGAATGAATCTTAAGTGACAAAATGTCTACATTTCAACTCAGTATTGCATTATATCTCTTTATCTTAGTTATGTGTTAATTAGTTAGGCACCTACATGATGAGAATTTTATTGTGTATGTTGTTCGTGGACGACATAGTTTAATTCATGATTGTGTATATTGTTTGTAGACGACATATTTTTAATTGATGAGACCCAAAGTGGTGTCAACACAAAGTTATAACTTTAGAATGATGCTATAGAATCTAAAAGTTTTAAAATTAGTCGAAATAAGATAATATATATAAAATGTAAGTTTAGTAATAATAAGAGCATAGACAAAGAAGTAGTTAAGATTTATGGTACAAAAATACAAAAAAATAACGTATGTTCGATATTTTTGGTTGATAATCTAGAAAAATTGAGAAACCGAAAAAGATATCGCATATAGAATTAAAGTTGGATGGACGAAGTAGAGATGTATGACCAAAGTTTTAAATGATTGTCACAAACCAATAAAGTTGAAAGATAAATTCTATTGGACAGCTGTGAGATTAGCTTTATTTTATAATGATGAATATTTGACATTAGGATGTTGAGATAGATGAATAGTAAAACATTAAGAGATGAAATTTGAAATGAATACGTTCAGGAGAACTTAAGTGTGTCTGTAATAAGCGATAAGATAATAAAATTGACTTAGATGAGTTAACCATGTGCGGTGTAAACTCAGTATAAGAACTTGTTAAGATGTATGAGTTAAGTCAAGTGGAGGGCTTAAAAAGAGTAATAAGTAGGCCAAAAAGAGCATATATTTAAAAGTAAGGTTTTGTTAGGCTACATCATCATGGTGTAGACCATTAAAGTGCTCAACATTTTTAAACATTCAGATACTCTTATCTTATAGTAAAGTAACTTTTTGTTTAGAGGTATTTTAAGTAATTAGTCAAGAGTAAACTATAAATTCTTAATAGAAACAAAAACATTTATTAACAATAGTGGACAATGACATCACCAATATGGTGTGTGACATCACCTACAAGATGCATTAATTGTTTTTAACTACTAATAAAATATTACAATTTTATTATAAAAATATCCATTCTAATGCTCCAACTTTAAAAAATTTGTAATTACAATTCTAAAGTATTATAGTGTTAAAAAATATTGTGCACTTTAAGAGTCTACATCACCAAGAGATGTAGCCCAATAAAACCCTCAAAAGTATTGTAAAAAGACATAGGGACTTGTGGCCCTTGATAGAGTGGAATAGCGAAGAGAACTTGTGTAACTAACCCCAAATAATTGAAAAAAAATACTATAAAGACTCAGCACTAAGCACTAGTAGTGCGACCCAATATGATCATGGCTTGAAATCTAAACTTGATGTCTGGGCCGGAATGGCCTAGGCACGAGACAAGGGTATTGGCCAAACTTTTAAGAAAAAAGTTTATATAAGGTTGCACCTCAAAAGGTAGTTTTAATGTTGAAAAACCCTTTGATTGATTATCTCGACATCGAGATGTATAACCATGAAAAATAAAAAGATTTTAAGTCTAAAAAATAGTACATTTTACAACATATTATCTACACCGTCCATTTTCAAGATTTTAATATGTTTATATATCTACTTGATTTTAACTATTTTTTAAATTTAAAATTTTATTATTAGATATAAAAATTGAGATAAGGGAAAATTTATATAGAGCTGAGGCTCTAAACAATAAAATTGGAGCCTACCACAAAATTTTCATTAGAAGATGTTATTTTTATGCCCAAATATCTTCAAATTGATCATCTCGACATCAAGAAGCTTGGACATGAGAAAAAAATGGATTTCAAGTTTTGAAAATAGTGTAATTTGTAACACATTTTTGGACCGTTAATTTTCAAGCTTTTAAAGTTTTCACATATGTGTCGATCTACACTATTTTTGAAGCTTTAAACTTTGTAAATAAATATAAAAATATATTTTAAAGCTATCAAAAAGATTTCCAGTATTCGAATCACATTTTTCGATACTATTTAAAGGTAGGTTTCTAATTTGATTGTTTAGAGCCTAGGTTCTTTACAAACCGCACCCTTGAGATAATCTTAAGAACATTTTACATCAAAATAATCTTAAGAACATTTTACATCAAAATTATATACCATGGTAAAATTTGGAGGTGCACCTTACCTCTACAGCTACGGATAATATTCCTTACGGGCTCAACTCGGCCCCTACAGCTACGGATAATATTCCTTACCGGCTCAACTCGGCCCCTACACCACTTTTATGGCGCAACCGGCCTGGGCGTAGAACCCCTTTGGCCTACTCAGGAATGGGTTTGGGCCAAGGCTAACCCATTGCTCCCGCGGGACCATGGAGTCCCTTCCCTCCGTATCTGAAAGCTCAAACGATCCTCCCTCCCCTCCGGTATTGCTCTGCAAGTGTTAGCATTCTGTACTCATGGAGCTAGCCAATAGCCATGGCTTCTACTACAGCTCCCCAGTTGAACTCCACACCAAAAGGAGACGCCTTTCTCCCCTTATTCCCCCACAAAACGCGAATTCGTCCTCATTTTCCCGGAAACTTACCGGAGTGCCCGGAATATACATTTTCCGGTCATTTCTGGGTGCAGGAAAAAGCTCGGATCTTCAACAACCTGGTGGAAAAATGGTAGTTGAATTGGTTGGAGCTTTCAACGATGTCACAGATAGGATGCCTCTTCTCTCTTCCGGTTCTTCTTGCCTTCTCTTCAAGACCCTGAAGCTCTCTATCCCTCTTTTGCTTGTTTTACCTCTTGGTTCTGATAATCGATCCCCACTATCAAAGGCCCTTGCTGTTGCCTGTATATTAGCTGATCTCGAGGTACCCTTTCATGGAACTGAATGATCCTGCCTTTTTTTCTAGGTTCTCTGGTAATTCCATTTACATGTTAGGTATTTAAAAATTTCCTTATTCATGGAAATTATTAAGAGAACAATGATCCCCAGGTACTTATTAGTGGAAATTATGGATATTCTTGATTTTTATTGAAATTATCCACATGGGTACCTGTTTGTTTTTGGGGCAAATTCCATCCATAAGGTTTTCATTGGATTTAAATATTTAAGTTGTTTATTATAAGTGGTAAAGTGCTTTCCTTTGTTGCATTTCTTGCAGACATTCTCACCTGTATCTTGGTTAGTTTAAGAGTTCTGAATGCTTTTTTGTAAAAATTGCATTGTTTCTCAAAAGTGAAACTACATTAATGTTGAACACTTATACAATAGCCTCTGGACATGAAGTTAGGGTCATTATAAAGGAAAATACTTCAGAGAATTCACTATTTCTTTCTTATGAAAATACTCCTTATTCCGTAAGCCCTTCAACTTTAGGACTGAATTCAGATTTTATTGCAGAACCATCTAAACATTTTCTCTGATTTTACTGAAATTTTCCGAGCTCATTCCTAATTTATATTCAATCTCTTAGGTAACTGTCAGAAATGGACGGCGATGCAATTGTAAATTATTGTTGAGAGTTACTCCATGCTTGGATGTCGATTTTCCTCTATTTCTCTGAGTGTGAAAATGGAAAATTAACCCCTTTTTTCAAAATTTTATTCTTATTTTAGGAACTTGCCTCATAATTTGGTGGCAGTCATATACTAAAACAGCAGTCATTGTAGAATGTGGAAATTAGTTCCTTGCATGAAATAAATACTTTCTTTTGGAATCTGGTTTCTCATTGGGGAATTGGGATTTGGTTTAATGTGTAGGAATTCATCAAGCATTCAAAAAGATACCCATAATGGTTTGTGCTTGTCATTTTTGCTTGGGTAGTGGACTCTGTCTGAAATTTTATGTTTTCTAAAATCATAGTGACATTGATGTTGAGAACTCCTTAAAAGAAGTATATTTATTTTCAACACTCAATATCATATGAGTTTTCTTGGTCACATCATAATCATAGTTGCCCCAATTAGTGCTTTCTTTATCTGGTTCTATAAAGATTTCAATAGGCATGTGAAAAGTGTATTGTCTAAATTGAGATCTTGTAGCCTGTCAAAACTTTTGTGTGTTTTTTTTGGGGTAAGTCCTGTAAAACCTGTTTCTTGAAATCCCAACGTTGTTATCAATGTATTGTCTCGTTGTTGTATCTGGTATTAAATTGAGATTTGCTTATATAGACACCTCCATGAATTTTCTTCTTCAATTTCAATTTCTGTCCTACTTCCCCACCATTTCATGCTGCATCCTTTCACTAATCACAGTTATGAATATTACCTTCGAATGATTGCAGATGGGCGCAGAAGTTATTTCGGCTGGTATAATGAGAGAGGTTCTAGAAGGTGATGCTATAACCATGGATGAAATCAAAACCCTTCTTGGTAGAGGGATTGTCCATTTATTACATGAATTTTTTAGGGTGAGAGAAATTCCTTCTAGAGCCAAATTATTGGATGATAATGAAGATGCTGCCACTCTAAGGAAGTTTTGTCTGACCTACTATGATGTCCGAGCATTGATCTTAGAACTCTCTCGCAGACTTGATATTATGAGACATTTAGACCACCTTCCAAGATATCAACAACAGTTGTTGTCTTTAGATATCTTGAGAATATATTCTCCTTTGGCTCATGCTATAGGCACTGGGACCTTATCTTTAGAGCTTGAAGATCTAGCATTCCGCTACTTGTTTCCTCATTCTTATTCATATCTTGATGCATGGTTGAGGAGTCATGAGGCGGGTAAGAAGTTGATAGATGAGTGCAAGGAGATGCTTCTTCAAACCCTAAAAGATGACCCTATTTTAGAGCTCATGGTGGATGATATCTCAATTCATGGCCGATATAAGAGCCGTTTCAGCACCATGAAGAAGCTTTTGAAGGATGGCCGTAAGCCTGAAGAAGTACACGATATCTTAGGACTACGTGTTATATTGAACCCTAGGTTTGGAAGTGAGGCATCAGAGAGAGGTGTAAAGGCATGTTACAGGACATGTGAGGTGATACGGGGTCTATGGAAAGAAATTCCAAATAGGACTAAAGATTATATCTCTAAACCAAAAGCAAATGGTTATGAAAGTTTGCATATGGCTGTTGATCTAAGTGATGATAGTAAGAGAAGACCCCCAATGGAGATACAAATACGAACAAGAGAGATGGATGCCATGGCTTCTGGTGGAATTGCATCACATTCTCTATATAAAGGAGGACTAACAGATCCTGAAGAGGTGCTTTCCTCATTCTTGTGCCATTAACTGTTTATGGGAAAGTATGGTATAATCCAGTGGACAATGAAAGAAACATTGTCCATAGGATCATATGACCGTCCAATGAAATGATAGACAGGGTTGGAGAGAAAGTGGGAGATATCAGAACAAGACATGACTCCAAATGGTCTGTTTCTGTAACCATCTATCAATTTCGTTGGATGGTGATTACTGAATGAATTAGAGTTTTTCCATAATGCATGTGCATCCCCTATTTATTGTTGTTATTACTGTTGTTATTATTATTATTGTTTTTATCCATATTCTCTTTATTTCTTCTATTTTTCTTTAGAGAAAAAATATCTCAATTTCTTATCTTTCTCACAAAATTCTTATTGTTTTTTCTCGTTCTTGTATAAATTCTTTCTATTTTGTGTGAAAATCAAGGTTCTATAATGGGAGCTTGAAAACCTTTATTGTGAATCAAACCTAAGGCCAATGATATGTGTCCTAAAAGATTTTTTTTACCATCATTCCTAATGAACCACTCAGTTACTTTATAGAAATTTAAACACAACAGAGCCCTATTTCCAGATTATGCTTTGTTTCTTAGTTTGTTCAGATGGATAAGTCCCAAAATATTTTATTTAAATGTATATTAGCAAGGGATATTATTTGCTTAAGTTCCATTTCTGAGACTGACTGTTGAATTGTTTAACCTGAGTCTTTCTAAAAGAAATAAGTTCTATAGGAATATCGATATTGCTAGTTGATGATTACCATAAGTGAAATGCCTTGTTCTGGTTTTGAGTTTTTGACATTCTCAGATTTCAAAAGCTACAAATCTGCTGCTTATTGGGAATTTGTCAGGACCTTTGCATTTGGCTTAAGTTTTTTGCTTCTGCATCAGGAAGATTCTGAGCTTTAATGAGCCTTCATTCCTCGTTTCGATCCCCTCTTTGCGTATTACTCTCATGACACACTTCCCATTCTACCTCTAAGGGTGAAGCACACTAGAACAAGCACTTTTTTGTTCACTACACTGCTGACCATTTTCAGATAAAAAGTTCCACACTCCTCCATTCATCATTTCCATCCTGGCATTGTGATATCCCCATTTTGATTTTTTCCAGTATTGTTTTAGTTCTAATGTAAGTTTTTTTTCGACAGTTCCTTTTGCAAAAACAATCTGGGCATCATACTAAACCTAGTTTAAAATCAAAATTGGAAATGAAGATTTCTCATTCTACCCTCATGCTTAGGTAAAGCGTCTCAAGGCCTTAATGATGGCTGCTACTGACCTTGCGGCACTGCATCTCAACAATCAACCCACTTCACAAGGCATTGGTTCACTTGAGAATGAACATAGGAACCAAATATTTAATCTTTTTGATAAGAACGAAAATGGTCGGATAAGCATTGAGGAACTCAGAGAAGTGATGGAAGAGCTGGGTGCTGAGCAAGAGGATGCAATTGAGCTGATGCAGCTGGTTGATTCTAACAGTGATGGATCATTGAGTTCTGATGAATTTGATTGGTTTCAGAGACAGGTACACCCTTGAGTCTCTCTCTCTCTCTCTCTCATGTTTGGGTTTGGGACAAGCTTCAAGCTTAGGTTGTAAGTGCCTTGTATCTCTTTTGGTGGGACCCATAATCGACATGTTTAGCTTCGGAGATCAACCTTTCTTTTCCGAAACTTTGCTGCACCTCCAGTATGCTTCATGATTGACATTTGACTGATTTCTTAACGTTTGACTGAAATAATGTTCCCTCCTTTGTCTCTTCTGCTTGGTCAGGAAATTGCAAAATCTGGTAAAGGAAATATGTTGATTGAAATTAACACCCAGTAACATTTTTTTTTTTGGGTAATTCAGTGGGGATGACGAGCCCTTACCTTTTTTTTGAAATCGTTAGTAGTTTTTTAATACGTTAGGTGAGAATGGAAGCCTAGACCTTAGCTAGGGCACAAGTGATGCTACCACCACGACCCCAATAATTTTATCATATGTTCTTCTTGTTTTCCCCTTTTGCTAGTTTGTTCTCCAGTATTTGGCTAGAGAATCAGAAAACTTGCCTTTTAGGTTTTGCAAAAAATATTTCATAATGGATTTTCTTTTCTATGTAATAACCCTAAAGACACTTCAATGATAAAGATTCTCTTGTTTCCTTTCAAATGATGGTTTTCGACCATTTCTTGATCTGGACAAGGCCAATTGAGGTCAGTCTTCACTGGTAAGGCTTCACCATGGGTTTAGGAATAGCCAAGAAAGAGTACCATTTGGTATCTAGGAATTTTCTGGTTCTGATTATCGCAGTCATGATTGTTTAGGTTCGGCTTTTGCGTAATTTGGAGGACAGAGATGATAAATACAGGAGCCTCCTGGGCGAAAAGCTTCCATTCTTGGGTGATGGCACAAACATATCTTAAAGCATCAAATAATGGAACCAACTAGTTGATGAGTTTGTATGTAAAGTGTATCATAATATTTTATGTACTTCCAAGTTGATTTTAAACATAAAGTACAGAATCCCTGTATTACTTATACATATATATTCTTCTATTTTTGTTTGTTAATTCAACAAAGGTGTATTATTTATTGTTATTTACTGTTCATGTGATCCAGTTTTTCCATTTCTACTTGGGTATGGGTAATATTATGTCTTAGATGCTCAAGCTTACTGAAACTCAAATGACAGCTGATAAACTGTCAATTTTATTTGGCTGTTGAACTGACGTTATGCATGGAACCATAATTCATTGAAATAGTGGTGTATATATATATATATATATATATATATA